CGGGCCTTTTGTGTGATAGTGCTTCGGGCCTTTTGTGTGATAGCAAAATACCGCTTAAACTGAAAGGAAAATTTTATAATATGGTGGTGAGACCTACAATGCTCTATGGCGCTGAATTTTGGCCTTTAAAAGAGAAGCATAATGCTAAGTGAAGTGTTTCCGAGATGAGAATGATTAGGTGGATGAGTGGCTTAACACTTAGAGACAAAATGTGAAATGATTATATCCGTAATAGGGTTGGTGTAGCGCTCCAGTGATGGATAAAATTCAGTGATGGATAAAATTAGAGAGAGTCGTCTTAGATGATTTGATCACATTAAACGCCGATCATCTGATAATCCAATTAGGAGAGTAAATGTTTTAGATTCGACTTTTGTTAAGAAAAGCAAAGGTAGATCTAAGAAGACTTGGGTTTATTGTATAAAAAATGATCTTAATTTATTAGAACTAAATGAAAATATGACACTAAATAGGACGCAATGGAGAAAAGCATTCATGTTGCCGACCCCATGTAGTGGGATAAAGCTTTGTTGTTGTTGTTGTAGGTATGAATTAAATGCCTATTTTTCTCATATTCCTAAAGTTTTTCAAGCTAAGGATATGCAAGCTGCTACTATATTTTTCATTTCAATATGGACAGTGACTATATGTTTGTAACTTTAATGGTTTTTCTATATATATGGGGTGGCTTAGAGTGTTTTAAGTAGTTTTTATTGGGCTATGACCTTAATTTTATTTTATGTATTCATCAGGAAAATCTTAATAGTCATTTGCATTATTGGTTCATGCTAAATTACTTCATATTTGAATTCTGATTTAAATTTTGTTTTGGTATTCAGGACTATTTGCCTTGGGATTATTCATGTATGTATGTACATGTATATGCTATTATTGTGAACTATGTAGATAAAGTTTGGGTAATAATCTTGTCAATCTCTATTAAGATTTAAGGATTGCTAATTAGTAATAAGCATTTACTACTTTTCCATTGAATACTTTTGAAACTAATTTAATATTCAAAGTTGCATTGTTGTTGCTATAAAGAATGAAATGTGGTTTGTTTAGTTCTACAGTTTATAGCCCCAACAGTTAATTTTGGATTTTCACACTACCAATGGATGATATTAGGACGAATTAACTTTCAGAGTAATCACTCTGAAAGTTATTTCATCCAGAAGTGAAAGGCTTTACCCAACTTACTCTAAATGCTATCTCATCATGAAATTGTGCATCCACATGCGTTATACTTTGTACAACATGCTGATATGATATATATATGCTATTGTATAGTTTCCTGTTTATCCATTTATTTATGCTATTACTGTTTCTCTTATTGTTTTATATAATTTTTTTTGTGAGTGATTATTCTTCATGAATTTGAATCAGAAGAACAAGAAATTTCATTGATTTTCGTATTGTTTTCTATGTATCAAGCTCTGAAAGCATTTGACCTTCCCTGAAAATCTGCCCATTTCTTGGAATGGGATATTCTGGCGATGGAAATCCCTCATATAATATCACAGATCCAACCCTTTTGAAGATTATAAATAGAAAATTCTAAGATAATTTTCCCTCTAACTTACCACCTCATGTTGGAGGGAAAGTTCATTCCATTAAAGGCTTCTGCTTCTCAAATTGGCTTGTATATTCTGCTTTAAAGCTTTTAGAATTTCCCTTCTTATTTTTGCTAATTGTTCGGTTGTTGGATCCAGTGGACATTGATAAAGTCGCATACTGTACTTATTCTATATTTTTCCTCATGAAGTTTTGGATTTTCTCGCTTTTTTTTCCTTTCGTTTGATCATTCTTTGTAGCTTTTCTGTGAACTTTGGCAAGCTTATTTTTCAATGGGCGTAAGTCCAGGAATATTGGCATGACTCGGATGATAAACTAGCAAAAAATGAAAATAGCATGTCCTTTGGTGAATGTTCTTGTGTATCCTGTTTGTATGTTCTTTTATCTGAACCTATTGCTAACACTATTCCTTGTACTTTCCACTTTTTCTGTTATATATATTTTTATCTTTGATGTGACATTTTTTTTGGGTTTTAATTATGCGCCACTGCTGTAATCTTTGGGGCTTATTTTTGCTATTTTTTCCCTTTTGAATTCATTTGTATGACAACAATATTCTGGATTTAGATTTAACATATTTATTTTCTGCCCTCTAAGCTTGTTCTTCAGGCTTGTAGTGTGTAAGATTTCTTGCATTTTTGTCTTTTGCAGTTAAGCAGACATGGAGCAAACCAATGATGAAGGGTGATCCACCCTCTCCCAGGGACAGCCATAGCTGTACTACTGTTGGTAAAAGGCTCTTTGTGTTTGGTGGTACCGATGGAACTAATCCTCTCAATGATTTGCATATTTTGGATACCTGTATGTATATTTTCCTGCACAATTTATGTTAAAAATATTAATTACACTTTACAATTTGTAGCTACTACTTCAGAGTAAGTATTATCTCGTTGACTGATTCGATGGTTGGGAAGAAATTTCATGAATTTTTACAAACTTAAATGACAATATTCATCTAAATTTCTGCTTCGAACTTTTATTCTCCATAGTATTACTTTTTTGCCATATAGATTAGAGAAACTTTACTCTTTTTTGTTCATTTTGTTGACTGATTAGACAGTTGGGAAACCTTTTATTGAAAACATTCTTCTAAATTTTTACTGCCATATTTTGCACTTATAATTGATATTTTAATATATATATATATATTTAAATTGGCTCATTTCTGAAACCATGTCTACAGCTACCAATACATGGATGTCACCAAACTTGCATTACAACGGACCTGATGCACGCGAGGGGCACAGTGCTGCACTCGTGGACAAGCGACTTTTTATTTTTGGTGGTTGCGGGAAATCCGGCAATAGTAATGAAGAAGTATATTATAATGATCTTTACATGTTGGACACAGGCAACTTTTTCAACCTTTACTAACTTTTCCGTAGATTTTTGCAGGATCTATTTTTGTTCTTATTATTATGCTTTGACTTGTAGGTGATCATGAATTGAAGCTGTCACAAGGCTGATTTTTATTTGTGACTCATCTTATAAATAAGCTAAACAAATGGTTTTTCTTTTTAAACTATATGTTTGATAAGTTTGTTTGAGGAATTAATGTGAAAGATATTGAAAGAAAAATGGCACACAAAAGGTAATTAACAGCAAGTTATGCAAAATATTCATGCAAGCTGAAGTTAGCATCAAATTGCAATACTTAGAGTGGATACTGATGAATTTAGAAACTGCTTGAAAGCGAATGAAGGAATTACTAAGTGTGCGTTATTTTGGCTGTGGTTGTGCAAAATCTCAGTTCATAAACTGTTGTTGAAATCAACTGTTTAGAAGTTGGTGTTTCGGAAGCAGTTGATCTGTTTGAAAAACACAATTCTGAAAGTGTTATATGTGGACTAATTGTAATGCCCCTCAATATAGATACACAATTCTATTTGAAAAACATAGTTCTAAAAATGCATCAATATATTAAATATTCTAAGAAAATTGGTACTGATCTAATTTTTATCTATTAAATCTAACACCATACTATCGGCCAATATCTTAGATTCTTCTATTATTTCATCCCCTCCTTCTAACCTCACACCTACCTTATAATGTTCTTAATTTTTAAATAAAAATACTGGTCAGTTTTCCTACAACTATTCTTGAAGATGAGATAATTGCCATTATGAATGATGGATATCAAAGATATTAAGCTAGAAGGAAAAAACAGGTATCCATGTGATAATTTGAACAATTATGATCAGATAGGCACATGATGAAACATGAGGTGATCAATTACATGGCTAATGCCTAAACCATTGTCAGGTATTTGAATCACCAAAGGAGGAATAAACAGGTCATGAGAAACCCCATCCTAATCAGCGATAGACTTCTTTCTTATGTGTTGCACTTCATTTTTACTAGTTGGCATAGAACTCAAATTCTATGAAGAAGTTTCGTTTGATAGTTGTGGTACATATGATTGCCATTGGGACCTCACAAGTACAACATATAATTTCTCTCAAGCTTTTCTTAGTCTATGATTTGATATTCTTGTGTTCACCCTATAATGATTCTCACACAATTTGCACTGTAGTTTTTGATAAGTTGATTATGTTTTGTTTTGAATTCGTAGGACAGAGTTAGAGTAGGATTTCTAACTATGAATTGCATCTCTCAACAATGTGTTGCTCCCATTTCATTGAAGTGGTAGTTTTGAACAATAATGGTCAAGCCTTGTACTCTGACCATTTATTTTAGGGGGTCTTATCTATAATTATTATCACCAAGAGAAGTATAATGCCACATTTGCCTTCAAATAAATGAACCTAAGCTGTGATTTTTGAGGTCCTTGATGGGAACAACTGGTTTTTTCATCCAAGTTTGTTCCCTATGGATTGCGGGTGACAATGTGTTTCTTCGTACACAATATTTGATCATTTTTCATCCATTGTGCACTTTTGGATTCAGATAGTTCATTGATGCCTTGGCATGTTTAGTGGTTTAGTTGAATTCTCTTAATAACTTGACATGCTTTTTAGTGAATAGGCAAACTAATGGGTCTATTAGTTCAATTTTTTAATTCCTTGACCATCATTGGTCTTGTTGCTTCCTCCCATTCTAGAGGAAAGAACGGATTACCTATCTATGAAGATTTACTGCTTTGGTTAATCGATTAAGAGATCTATTTTTTCTGTATTTTCCCATATTTTGCACCTTAATATTGTTTACTATACTCGATCATTTCTTTGATACTCCAACGCATGAAATGATATTTGAAGGAAAAAGGGCCATCTTGTAAAAATGAACTTGTAATTCTTGTTGTTTATTTGTAAATATTTAGATATGTGGGAAGCATTTGAATATATTTGACTAGGGCTTCATTAATTGTACCTCATAAGTAGATGATTTATCTAAATATTTATTTTTCTTTCTGTTATTTTACAGAAACATTAGTTTGGGAATGTGCTGTAACATCTGGTATTCCACCTGTCCCTCGTGATAGTCATACGTGTTCGTCATGGAAGAATAAACTTATAGTGCTTGGTGGTGAAGATGCATCTGATTGCTATCTATCTGATGTCCATATGCTGGATGCAGGTACCAATTCTGCATTCCAAATTAATATCCAGCTTCCATTATGTAGCTGTAACATTATTTCAATATAATAAAATTAGTTGATATTATCATTTAAATATATTTAAACGTGGTTGTCTGTTTAATTTCATCATTAGTTTCCATTAAATTATTTGATCTTATTAGTTGGAGATATCCAAACATCTGGCAGTTTCATGCATGTGCATGTGGACTAAAGATTAAATCCCAAAATAGTTTTTTTTTACTAATTATGTGTGGACATTTTAATCTTAAAGTTTCATACTTCTCCAATTTAGTCTCTCGGATATACAAAGTTGATCCAAAATGGTTTCTAATGGACTCAATTGGGATCAAAATTGTATATTTGAATGACTAAATTGAAGAAAGGTGATACTCTAGGATTAAATTGGCCATGAATACAACAACAACAAAGCCTTAATTCCACTACGTGGGGTCGGCTACATGAATCCTTTTTCTCCATTGCGTCCTATTTAGTGTCATATTTTCAAAATTGGCCATGAATAAAGTGCCAAAATAGTCCCCTGACTGTTTATGAGAATCTTTTAGCCCGAGAGTATATAAAAGTGTCAAATTAGTCTCCAGACTCTTTAAATTGGGTTGAAATAGTTCTATATAAGAGTGAGAGGACTATTTTGACACTTTACTCAATTCGCCATTTATAAATAGTTAGTGGATTATTTTACCATTTAGCAATTAATTTTCATGTTAAAACAAGTATAGGCTGACTCAGAATTATGCATATCTATGCATTTCTCCATGGAGTTTCATACAATGCTACAAAATTTTCCTTTTTTTTTTGGTTGGTTTAGTTTTTATATTCTATTAATGGATCTGATGTCTTTGTGAACAGACACCCTGACATGGAGACAAATAACTACTTCGGGTCAGATGCTTGCTCCTCGTGCAGGGCACACTACTGTTGCTCTTGGAAGTCATTTATTTGTGTTTGGTGGTTTCACGGATGCTAGGAACTTGTATGATGACCTCCATGTTTTGAATGTTGGTAAGTATTGAATGTTGGTAAGTAGTTTGGCAAACGTTAATTTATATTTTTCTATTCTGCGTTTTCTTCTTCTAGCCAACTGCATCATTTGCTTGAAGACTTTGTATCATTTTACCTTTTTACTAATAAACTCTTGATAAGAATTTAGTATTTGACATTGCGATGTTCCTTCACCCGTAGTTCATTTAAAAATTCTTGCACCATCAAATTCAGACATGCAAATTTTAGTTGTAAATCCTTTCATCCAGCCCCCTCATGCCAAGAGGGGCAAAAGAGAGATGGTTCCGAGGTTTTAGAGTGTGTAGACATTAGTTCTGATTTAAGCATGTATAAATGGGATCTTTTTAATTATACTGTCATTTTTATTCTAATACCCCTTGAATTGTTATGCAGAAACTGGTAAATGGAATAGAGTAACAAATATCAACAGAGGGCCCTCTGCCCGTTTTTCCGGGGCCGGGGACTGCTTAAATGAGCAGAGGGGCATTCTTGTATTCATAGGAGGATGCAATAAATCTCTTGAGGCTCTTGATGATATGTATTATTTATATACAGGTCCTTGTCTGATATTGCTCCTTGAAATTTCCTGTTTATCATTTTTGTGCGGTAAATTCAATTTGCCTGAACTTGCTCTTACCTATGATCGGTTTTGCTAGATATGACAGTTAGTAAGTCCCTTTCACAACTAAGGCCAGAGTTATTGCATGGTAAAGAGTTGAAAGTAAGTTATAGTGATAGTAAAGTGGAGAAATCTAGTGGCACAACTTTAACTTCGGCGGTGGCATCTGGTGTGTCCCAACCCTTGTATTTTCATGAACGTGGCCAAGCAGGTGTGTATTTCTATTTAATGTTATCAGAAACTTTTTGATGCTAAAACATTGATTTCTAAGGAAACATCAGAACTTGGCATTGTTATTTTTTTAAGCAAGAAATTTATTCTTTTGTGAAGCCATATTCTAACATATAATTTAAGTGACATTCTATTAGCATGTGTGGACTAGTCAACATATTGAAATTTGAACTTTTGGCAATTCAATTTGTGAAAGGAGTGGATCCTGTTGAGAGTGTTAGTGTTCTTGGAAGGTTCTGACATGCATCTTGAGTCAGCTCATTTCACATTAGTCCAAGTCATCTATTAAGTCACATTTTGTCTAATTTGGTTGAGGACTAGTCAACATATTGGAATATTGGTCATTTGATTACGACCAAGTCAAGTTGTACTCAGGTAGACCCTTTTAGTCAAATGGATTAATATGGGTTCAATATAGAATTAGTTTGATGCTGTGATCCGACCTATAAATCAGTACAAATTTCTACAGAAATTAAGGCAAAACAAATATTTTTCTTTAATAATTCAAATAACTCAACACGACAAACATTTACAATTTGAGAGGTAGGTGATCTCTCCCAATTCCTACAATTCGAAGGTAGGAAAAAAAAATCTGTCAAACCCTAAATCTAAGACTCACTACAATAGTCTCATGCATAACCCTAACCCTAAGTTATTAAGCTCAATTTATACCCAACAAAAATAATAATAAAATACCAATTTACTTGTAGCTTAATAAAAGGCAAAATTGCCCCTATGTCGGTGTGTAACATTGTTTCCCTCCTAAAAAGACAAACTGTCCTCAAGGTGGCAAAGAGTGAGGTTTTTTCTCCTTCTCCACCATAGGCGTCTCTATTTCGTCATCCTCTGCCTCATCATCACACACTGTTAAAATCTGTAATATTTGAATCTTGCAACGGTGTTCATGGGCAAACTTCTCATCAAATAGAAAATATAACTCCTTGGCTTGCCTCTCCTGAATCTCTGTCTCTGTAAGGCGCTTGAAATAAACATTTAGACCGGCGCCCATATTCTTCTTTTGCGACGCCTCCCCATGGAATGACCTTGTATGGGTCATCAGTGTCATGGACGTCGAAGTACTCTTGTGCAATCCTCCCATGGTGTCGCTTTTGTTGGTCTTCTTCATATGGTTCTTTTCTTACACCATCTAGGCAAGCTCCATCATCTCCCTAATTCTTTATGGTCTTATTAGTCTGAGTGTTGCCTGTATGTCGGGCTTTAGGCCCTTCATGAAGTTTTCCTCCAATCCTGCTTCAGAAATCTCTCTCAACCGTCCTGACAATACCTTGAATCTCTCCTTATATTCCATAACAGTCTCCTCCTGAGTTAAGACATAGAATTGCTCGTGTAGGTCTCCTTCCCAAATGACTCAGAACTCAGAAATGTTTCAACAAATAATTTCTTAATTTCTTCCACAAACAAATCAGGTATCTAGTCTCCCGCCACTGAAACCAGGCTAGGGCTATCCCCTCCAAACATAATTCTACTGTCATGAGTTTCTTCTCTCTATCTAGCCCATTCGCTGTGAAACATTGCTCCACCTGATACACCCATGTGCATTTTCCTTCTAGAAGATCATCTTCCCCCTTGAAGATCAGCATCTTCTCTCTAGAAGATCAACATCTTCAACTTCTCTCACTCCACTGTTTCTCTCCATATATCGAGGGTAAAACTCCTTGCTTCAATCATAGTCATTAACCCTCTCTGCTTCTCTATTTGCTTTTTCATGCTTCTCCACACTTCTTGCATAATCTCTTCTACATGTGTTGACCCAACTTCCTTCATCAGAAATCTTTTATCCACCTTCATGGAGCCCTCAGAGGGGGTTCTTGATGTGGGATGGTTTCCTCCTTGTATTTCTCTCATTCAACCTCCTTCCCCTTCGATCTTGCGACAAAATTTCTGATCAAACCTTGCTTGGGATTTGCAAATTGAGCCACCAACGAGGTCTTGGATTGCATCTCAATAAGCTTCCTTATCATCTCCTCCAAGCTTCAGAATCAGTTTTCCATGAAATAAAACCTATCATCTATGGGCGAAACTTTATACTTTAAAGTCCAATCACCGCTTCCTTGTTAGCTCAAATCAAGACTATTTTGAGAGGTCACAAAGGCTAATATAGGGCCTCGATCTCGTCTTCCCAGCTAGCCTGACTGAAGCCAGATCAGGACTGTACCACGATATTCTCGTCACAATACGCAACAATCACATGGTTTGCTCCCAGCCAACTTGATCGCAACAGTATCACTAGATTAGCTCATTGTATGTTGCATTTGCTTGATCGCAACTATATCGCGATAAGGAAAATCAAATTCTCTGTACGCCACAGTTCCGTCTTTGCCTTCTCCACAAAGTTGAAAGGAAAGGCTCGGGTCTCTATAAGTCGGTCGTTGCCTTCCTAGCTAGCTGAGTTCACAACTGTATCGTGTCCGCGAAGCAGGAGGAGAAAGATCGGTGTTTCTGGTCTCTGTAAGTTGCAATCCCGACTTTGCCTTCTCTGCCAACTCTTTCTGTCGTGGGGCCTTCATCGTTTCTTTGGTTTGATCACCACTCTATAGCACAGATGGATGTGGGAGGAGGAGAAAGATGGGTTCTTCGGCTCTTTGCCACGGCCCGATCAGTATGGTGGACGTAAAATTATTTTCAGACTGCGATTCTTTCTTCTTCCTGGATCGAAATGCTCTCATATTAATTTGATACGATTCGACATAGAAATCAATACGAATTTCTACTAAAATTAGGGCAAATTAAATATTTTTCTTTAATGATCCAAACAACTCAACACAAATACAAATATAAACACCTACAATTTAAGAGGTAGGCAATCTCTCCCAATGTCTACAATTCGAGAGGCAAGAAATCTCTACCAAACCCTAAACCTAAAACTCACTACAATAATCTCATGCATAGCCCTAACCCTAATCTATTAAGCCCTACGTATACCCAACAATAATAATAATAATAAAAGACCAATTTGCCCTTAGGCTAATATAAGATAAAATTGCTCTTAGGTCATCACGTAACATTGGACTAAGGAGCCTGATCTGAACCAATAAAAACAATGTTTGAACTAATTAGATGGAATTTTTGTCCATTTTTTGGATCATGGCGCAAACTGTACGAGGTTGGAAATATATTATTTTAGTAGGAACCCCTTTTTTTTAGCCTAAAAGGTTGTTGACCTACCTCCTATATTTCATTTTATTTGTATCACATATCCTAAAATTGAAGCCTCTCCACCCTTGGCTCTCTTGTAAGTACATGTGAAGGGGTGAGGAAAAGAGAAAAGGTAGAGGGCAAAGATAAAGACGGCTGAAATATTGTTATGACAATAGAGGTATAAATGAGTTTTTCTTAACTCTCCTCTTTCATTTTCTCGGTCATTGGTTGTCGTTCATCAGTTCACGGAGGTGTCCCATTGATCACTTACTTTGAGCTAAGGTTGTTGGTGCTACCACTACTCTCCTTTTTCCAGCATGGCATGAAGTTTCCTCACTTAGGTGGTTCTTGCATCACATATACCTGTCTTTCTTGGCATGTGAGTAGCAATCCCAAAGCATAGGCTTGTTTCCGATGCTCTATAATGTCAACCTTTCTTGGCTTAACCAAAAGAGTCTTGACTTAGGCGGGCATTTATAGCTTTTTATAAAGGTGATTATAAGGTTGTGAATATGAAAACAACTTCTTAAAAAGTTACGGTGGGAATTATCAATTTCTATTTTTTTCAAAGTGTTGGACAATATATTTCTTATAGCCATAGGGCTTTGAGAAATTTTATTGTAAAAAGCAACATCCCAACATAATAAATTTAATAAAGCAGAAAAAAGACTTTTCTCCAAACATAATTGTGATAACGGTTTGAAAAGCAACTTAGGCAGAAAGCTATATCATATAGACCCTCAATTGTTGCCATCTCCTATGCGTTTGATGCAAAAACATTAATGAATTTCTTTGTGAAACTCAAAACCTGGCAAAATTTTGCTTTATGCCATAAGAGTTATGGGGAAGAATTGTCTTATTTTTGTGGACTGGAGGACATTAACATTTACCATTTAAAAATAACCTATAGAGGAATTAAAATGACAAATGAAATAAAATAATTAAAAACTGATAGAGTACGGAGTACCTCACCACTACCAAGAATGAATTTATGTTGCTATTGAATATAGAAAGATAGGTCGGGTCAAGTAGAGTTAAGTCTGGACCTATTCACACACCCTTTTATTTATAAAGAATAAATATAAGTAGAACACTATGGACTTTGTACAATGCTCAAACAATGGGTTACTTTATACGGTTGGCTAGTTTAAAGAAATCCCTCAAGCCTCGACAACACCCAAATGTCTCTCAGGACAATCTTATTGACATTATGCTAGTGTTAGAATGTGTTATTAAAACATTTCTATGTTTATAACCAATTGACTATTTTATAATTTCAAAGAGTGTCCCCATCTTAGGACTGGTTATGAGTGGAGAAGCTGTTGAATGAGTCTCTTTATATCTTTAGAAATCAAGAAATGGACATTGAAAATAAGCCCTTGAACCAAAATAGGGCCTCGTGTGACCTTCTCATTGACCAACCTCCATTGTGACAACCTAACATAAATAAAAATTAATTAATTAATTTGTATGATCATTGACATTGATTGTGGATGAACATCTATCTGATATTTATTCTCATGTTTTTTGAGAGATTTAATAAACCTCATATGAGTATTATAAATATAAGCCGAAAGGATTATAATTTAATTGAATTGTTTTTTTAAAATTTGGGTTTGTCAAACTCTTAAAAATATTTCATGGTGTACATGTCCTGTAGTAGTTTTCTCGTGCTATTTTTTTGTCAGTGTGCTTTCACATTGGTTCTATATTCTGAATCCCACAATGGTTTGTAATTTAGTTGTCTATTGAGCAAATGTTGACATGTACTAAAAATCTTTTTTGATGTAGTAGGATGCTCTTCATATTGTTTTGCTAACATTATGCAAAGATTCTATCAAAGGCTCATACACACGTTGTTTAGTATGGTACAAGACCTATAGTTCATCCTTATGATGTTCAAGGTCCTCGAAAATCTGTACACCTTTTTTTAGTACTGTGGAGTTCATGCCAGTTTTATTTTATTTTCTTTCCATATTTTGCTAACCTTTAAATAGGATTTCAAGATGCATACATATTGGTGTTTTCGAGAGGTTATGCTTCAGTCTATATGCTTTTTGCATCACTCACAGAATTTGTATAGTGAGCAACTTCATGCACCATAGTATACACGTCCCTTTTTGGCGTGATTACATGTGAAAGACTTATCTGAATTTCAACCAGAATCCTACTAATGCCCATAAAATAAAAATGTAGAAGAGATGAAGAAAACAACCAATCATGCTTAAATTTAAATGGTGATGACTGACATACCTTGCATCGCTGAAATTTCCTAAGACGTTCATATATTAATAAGGCGATGAAAGTCAAGTGCTCGAGTTATCTCAAGCTATTCAATGTCTAATGGATACCTACCCATATTGAGGGAAAGCAACAATTGCTAGAAACATTATAATAAGGTTGAAAGAGTGCAAGAGTTATTATCTTGATTATTGTGCTAATCAGTCAACTTCCAAGGCCAAAACATGATAATTATAGGGCTCAAGCTTCTATCCCAAGTTGAGGTAGGAAGATTGACTCTGATAGCTTTAACTTCTTTTAGACCAACAAATTATAAATTTTCCTTAAATGTTATGTATGTCCGTCATAGGTTACTTACTATTCCAAAACTTGATAAAATAAAAATATAATGGGGTTTCCCCATTAATAAAGTTTTAGAGGGGTTGTTAACCAAACAAAGATTATATTGTTCCCACTCTCATTCACGACCGCATATTTGTTCATACTAGAGTGATATCATATTAGAGTTTATGCTCGTCTTCTAGCGATATTTGCTGCTTCTTTTTATACCGCAATGGTCAACTTGCAAGTTAGTGCTTGCTTCTTTGTCTAATTATTCAACAGTCCTCCCCATAAAATTATTACTTTATTAACAAGGATGTATAATTCTCTAGCATTCTTGATAATGGATTGAGTTATTAAATATTATTACTGAAAGAACCACCTTATGTCACCACCACCACACACACATCGAGGCCTTCACCTCCTTAAAGATGGGTACTTCGAGAGCATAAATTTCAATCGAGGTATCCAAAGGATGAAATTATCAGTTTCTTAGTTTAGTCAAGTCCCTTGGAAATAAATTCAACATAAAGAAGTGTCTCCTTTCTAATGATAAGCACATCATAAGATATATCATTGCCAAAGGTACCCCCAAGAAGCATAGAACACTAAGTTCATTAATTTGAGTCATTAGATATTAAAATATAAAAAAATATGATTTAAAAAAAAAAAGAAATAACGGCTGTTCTGTGCTCAGAGCAATAGAGCTACCACCTAATTTGTCTTTTGGTCTGAAACTTGCCAAAGGTTCTATGGTCTTTTGAGTAATGCTCAGAAAGGGCCAATATTATCTTAATGCGATCACACCAATTGCTCTCAAAATACTTGTACTAATACATATGTGACAAATGCATCTGAGCTTGCTGATCATGCTTAAAATGTGCTGTTAAATAGCTTAATCAACTAAATCCACACCTTGATCTACTCTTGAATGACCTTGTTTATGAGTCTATGAGCTATGTGGTGCTGATTAGCCAATATTTGTCCTTCACTTGATTTTCTTGACAACATTTTCATCCTCGGAGACTTGCCAAAGGTTCCATAGTCTTTGACGTATGCTCAGGAAAGGCCAATATTATCTTAATGTGATCACCAGTTACACTTAAAATACCTGCACCAATACATATGTGAAAGGTACTTTTGATCTTGTTGATCATGCTTAAAATGTGCTATTAAACAGCTTAATCAGCTAAACTTGGTCTACTATTGAATGACCTCTGTATGTGATCCCATTGGAGTTGTAATGCATGATTGCTACAAAAAGTTAAACTTAAGGAAAGAATCAATATTATTAGACAGATTAATTTGAGGCACGTGGCAAACCTTAAATGGTGAAAATAACCGTAAACTAAGAGATTTTGATAGTGTCTATAATATTCATCAACCACCCCGCAACACA